TATCCTTTTTCCCAGTGTCAAGAAAAACCGGTTTGAAAATTTTGATTTATCGTCTAATTTCTCGTCTGAAATTCTGGAGTTTTCAACTTCATCTTAGGAATCAAAAACTTCAAAAACAGGAAAAAAATTGAATATTTAAAAAATATCATTTTTTTTGTTTTTTTTTTTTGTTATTCTTGTTATTTGACTTCATAAATTGTTTTCCAATTTGCATATTCTACAATTACTGACAAAAATGCGTAAGCTCTACTTTTTCGCTCAGATTTCTTTATCACACCACGCGGAAAAAACGACACTAATATGAAAAATAAAAATAATTTTGTTGTAATTTTTTACACACAGGTGAAGTTGCACTTCGCATGAACTAGCAAAAATATGACCGATGGCGCTACTGGAAAAAACTACATGAGTAAAAATTTGAGTCTACTAATTTTATTAAGTGACGCACGCATATTATGCGCATTAGCAGTACCAGTCAATTTGAAAAAAAAAGAAACTTACCAACTATCATGGCTCAATTTGTAGAGAAGTCTATGGAGCAGTAATAACATGAAAAAATTAAAAATAATAGAAACAAATGATTTTTTTTAATTTGAGTTTTTTGTGAAAATCATCCCCCTCCTGCACGCAATATTAATTACACAGTGATAAATTTCATTTCTATTAACAAAACAATTATGGCAAACAAGCTTCTTTCAACCAACTTGGAACGACTTCTATGACGGATTGAATCCCCGCTAACACGTTAATAGCGCGAAATCTATCGCTCGATAATTGTCCTAAATTGGCCAAAATGGCAATTCTTAAACCCTCATAATTTACGAAAAATAACAACAGGTGAAACATCTTTCCAAATTTAAGCTCAAGACAACACTACCTTTTGAATGATAAAAAAAATTTCGTCAAAAACAAATACCCACCCCCAGCACAAATATTCCGTTACTTTCGTTACGAAAGTCGGAACAATAGTAGTCTGTGTTAAAATACTTAGCACTGGCTGTACTTAATAGTTGTTTATTGATCAAAATGAAGACTTTCAAAATGATCACATTTTATCTCAACATTATTTGCGTCGCAACAATATTTGCGACATTATTTGGTTGAAAAAAGATAGTCCATACTATAACACAATCATTGCTTGTGTCAAGACTGGTCGGAATATTCTGTGCGACTTGCCCATTAACCGGGTATCCTTCTCTGTGATATATAATCGACGATTTGAATACTTCATGTATAAGATCATTTATTTGATTCTATTCCACTCTAATTAAATTGCAATTTGAAACTTTAATTGAAACTTTATTTGATTCTATTCCACTCTAATTAAATTGCAATTTGAAACTTTAATTAAATTGCAATTGAGCACTCGCATTTGGAAGCAAGATTTGCAACTCTGAGAGTACTTTAACAGTATTCAATTACAGCGTTGGGAATTGCAAATATTCAGAAAATCATTTCTCGAAAATTACAAAAATTTGAGCAGTCACAATTTGAGGCAAAATTTGCAACCCCTGAGAGTACTCTGACAGCCGCCAAATACAGGATTGGGAAATTAAAATCAGAAGAAAAAAAATTAATTCAAGTTTTCTGAACATTTTTTTTGAAAAAATCACTAAAACGTCATTTCTCGAAAACTACCAGGATTTGCGCTGTCAAATTTGGGGGAAAAACTCACAACTCCTCGGAGTACTCTGAAAGATCATCACCATATAGATGGAAACTTCAAATTTGGTGAAATAATCTATTTTTAAGTTCTTTGAAAAAAGTAAAAAAAAAAAAGACATAACAAACGTCACATCTCGGAAACTGAGAGCATTTGAGTAGTCAATTTGGACGCAAGATTTCCAACTTGGAACCAATGAGAGCAGCCTCACAGTACCTCATTACAATAATGGGAATTTCAAATCTTTTGAATTCTTAAAATCTAAATTTTCTGAAAATTTAACAAGAAACCATAAAACACGTCATATCACTATAAAACTACAAGGATTTCAGCAGTCATATTTGAAAAAAAGATTCGCAATCCTTGACAGAACTCTGATAGCACCTAACTACAGGGTTAGGAAATTCAAATATTATGAAAATATTATTCAAATATTATGAAATTCAAATATCTGAAAACTTATGAAAAATAAAAAAATCTCCGTATCTCGTACACTAAAAGGATATTAAGGCATTCATAATTGGAGCCCAAATTCTTTCGTTGAACATGCTAAAATAAAAACTATATCTTGAAAAAGCTTAAATGTGGCAAAAGCCCGCATTCAAAAATATATTAGATTGAAAAATCGAAAACCCTTCAAGACAACGTTAAGTCATTCGAAGGTTAAATATAGCTTAGGTAACCCAACAAGAAAACTTTCCAGAGGTGCAGCGATTAGCACGTATGCTTATTGGCATGGAACAATTTCAATAATTGGGTGAACATTCAGACGAAAAACACAGTCGCCTAAACTTTTGCACATTTTCAAAAAACCATTTGATTTGTGAAGGAAAGAAAAACTGTTCAGTTTCGCTTAATTAAAAAACCAATTTCGCTTGATTAGGAGTGCATTCAGATAAAAATTGCAACTTTGAGCAGACACACTCTGCAATAGCGAGTGTTCAAACTACTTTCTATTACATGGGCATGCTAATCGACACATATGCTAATAAACCGGTCCCCGCTTTTCGGCTCCTATTTTCATCTCAAAGAATTTCTTTTTGCATCTTTGAAATTGCCATGCTACCATTCATAAAATTCAGGACAGAAACGAAATCTCAATACGAATTTAAGATTTAGTATCAACCGTACAATCTTTCCCCCACACCTAAGTGGCCTACCGCAGAATGTTCTCCCTAAGTTTGTGTTAATTTTAAAAATGAGTTCCGCATAAGATATTCATTTCAAACAAGCTCGCTGAATATACTGCTGCAGAATTTTTCTTTCACCTAATAGCTAATTGATCTTGTTATTAGCGTAATATAATAATCATAAGTTCCTATCCATTGATTTTTTTGATTAGGTACTACTATGATAGACTAGTCCTTTGAATGTAACCAGTTCCATTGAGATTAAGACACCTAGAGCTCTCAAATTGTTTAAAAATTATAATTTGGCCATTCAGAAGGTGTCACAGTTCATTTTCAAACAAATTTCATGTTTCGTTATTTCGTACAACTTCCTTTTACCATTTTAAGGTCGAAAAATCAAAAATAAAAGGCCAACATTGAGTTTTGACGACAAATAAGTATCCAAATATGGTTGTTAAACCGTAAAATAAGTTGGAAAATAGATGTTGAAAAACTAGGTGAATCAAAACTTTCGTAGTCTCGGTAAAAGACAACTAGGGGTCTACTTAAAGCTGGAGGTACTTGTTATATATTTGTTGAACTTAGACTGATGCGGGACAAAATGCGCAAACTCAAAAAACTACCTTAGTTGTTGCTCTACTAAAATAGAGAGAAGTGAACATTTTTGAGATATTTTGGACATAACCTTTATCTTTCCAAAAAATTGGGGCGTCGATGCTTGTGCGGGACAAATTCTCGCAACCGATTTTTTCGATTAAACTCAGTTATGTAGGGTAGTTTTTTAGAAAAAGTTTTTTCGGTTTCTAGAAAAACGGTTAAAAAATCAAAAATTTGACTTTCCAAAATCTTAAGTTTTTTCTCTACAAAAATCAGATTTTCGCCGCTAAAACAGAAAAGATTATCAGAACCGTTTCCCGATTAAACACTTGACCTGAGAATTGGCCTCGTCCGTTTACGAATGAAGTCAAAAAGTTTTTAATTTTGACTTTTCTGAGGGCCAAAAATTTGAACAAAAAAATTGAGCACTGTCGCGTGAGCAAAGCAGCTTACCACAAGACGCTCTTTAGACTCAAATCAAAAACTTGGTATGCGAGGGTAGTTTTTGAGAAAATTAAAAAAAACGGTCAAAAAATCACAATTCGAATTTTCCGGGGGAAAATTTTTTTGTTTGAAAAGTTAGTGAGTGGCCACTAATGCAGGGGAGCTTCCAACTACCTTTTATCTCTATCGAATCCACAATATCAGATTTGGGACATTAGTTTCCAATAAAAATCTGAAAGTTTCAGAAAACCGTAAAAAAAAAGACTATTCCAATGGATGACCACTACTTCATGTGAAAATAATTTGGGCGTAGCCGATTATGGTAGGAAACTTTCCAAAATCTTTTTCATTCCTTGAAGACAAAATCTCAAATTTGGTAGGGGCGTTTTGAGGAAACGAAAAAAAATTAAAAATATGGATCAAATATTACCCCACAGGTTTTTTTGAAGGCTTTAGACAGAGTGGTAGAGTAAAAAGAGACCAGGAGAGTATGCCAGCACACAGGGGAGCAGGCGGACTTTCCATTAATATATATTTTTAATTCCGTGGCATAGTTTTTGAGAAAACTAATTTTGCAAAAAAAGTGAAAAAAAATCCAGAGTCTAATAAATTTAACATAAGAAACCAATCACATTCATTTTCAAAATACTTTTTAAATTAGCAACGACATTAAACTTACGAAGCGGAAACAAAGCCGACAAATTTTGAGTAGACACAAGTTGAGCTGGAAAAAAAATTGATTTAAGAAAAACATTGGTAAGTTACAATCCCCGCTGAAACAAATATCAATGTGATGTGGCAACTAAACCGAGAAAACTTGAGCAGATAAACAAAATTCCGATAAATTAAATTTTTCGGAAAAAAATTTCAATTGCATACATACTGAAACAAAAAATTCCGGCCGGCGAAACAATAAATTCATGCAAAAGCAACGGCGTTACTTCTACGCCAAGTGCTAAGGAACATGGAAGTCGTTAAGACTCAATAAAAAGCCAGGTGAAAATATAAAAGAAAAATTGTTTATGGGAAAAAATCTAGTTCCCGATTACAAGACACTTGGTTCCGAAATTATGATTCGCAAATCCCTAGTACGCACTGACTGAATTGAGCAGTAGTATTGACAGTTGTTCTTTCTACAGAGAGAAGGAGAAGCAACAAATCGTTAATTGCACTGTTTCTATGAATAATTTAATATTTTGCAAATGAAATACAAAATTTAACTAAATTGATCAAATTATCAAATAGAGATATTGATTATTTTAAATAGCCTTGTTTGTACAAATTAGCAGTTAAACAGAAGTCTCTGAGTCGAGACGCAGCAGGAAAGTGTTTTGATTGGATGTTTCGAAAGAAGCTTCCCGGATATATATGTGAGGCACCCTTGCCACATACACGATGAGAGAGATGGCTTCTTGTCTCAACTGGAACACGACGTTCTCCTTGATGCCTCGATTGGGGTAGCCCAACTCCGAAATCAAATCCCAGCTTTGGATCGGCTTCTGTTCCGCTTCGCTCGTTATCACAGGCCCCGGTTTCAAGTACTTCTCCAGGAAAGCCTTGGGTGTGAAGTCGAGAGTGAGACAGCGTGCCAGATGGTCGTAAATCGCTTCCTGTGTGTATCGATTCTGCTGGTTAGTTATTTTCAGGTACTTCTGCAATGCTCTTGCCATTGAGGGAAAAATGGCCCGAGCACTTTCGGATGCATTCATCGGAGGTTTTGGGCCCATTTGAAGTCCGTTTTCGTCGTCTTCAACTCGTTTCAAATGGGAGAAGGCCTCCTCGGCCGCTACGATCAAGCGCGCTCTTCGCTTTTTCATCCTTCGCTCTAAATCCTGCTCTTCGTAAAAGCGTTCGTTGTGACCTGCATCTCGCTTGCGAGCAGAGGCCGCTATTATTGCACGTGATTTGTCGATTAAAGCGTTGGCCGCGGAAACCCCCACGGCAGAAGACGCCGCAGCAGTTGGAGGCATGAAAGAATCGATGTCGTAGAATTTGTACTGCTGCTGCGGACTAGTGACGTGGTGTTTGTTGGCCCTGGCTGCTTTGCCCCCACCCCCACCCCCACTGCTCATCGACGAAGACAGTATTGCGGCAGGATTGAAGACAGAGAAGTCTTTGTAGTATTGCTGTAGAATCCAACTGGCACAGGATTGGATGCTCATGTGGCCAATGGTGTAGAAGCGACTTTCGCCATCGGTGTTGCGCACCACCTTTATCACATACTCCGTGTTCAGGTGCATCACTTCAAGGCACACAACAGCAAGGTAGAAAACAAACAAGGCACAATCAATAGTACTGTTAGCAAATTGCAGAGTAAAGCTTTGGTCCGTGTTTCTGGGGCTTATGACTTTGACAAGGTAGAAGATCCAGTGGCACGTGAGAAATAGAAGAGAGAAAAGCAGGAGCAGCAGCCGCACCAGGTGAACTGAGGGCAGAGTGGAGCGGGAAGATCTGAAGAAGACTGCCCAGCAGCCCACCATCAAAATGAGACTCTTAAACATGATGTTGATGAGAGTGGAGAAGCAGTTGTAAGTACAGGAGAGTTGCTCGCTCCACAGCAGCACGGGAAGTAAGGCGAAACAAGGCGAACTGATCAACACCAGTGCTATCAACACAACAGAGATGACGGGAGAGAAGCAGCGCTGACAGAAGGTAGGCGAATAGGGATCCATGTAGATTCCATACTCGCTTTCATCTGGCATGTTCACGTTCGTCTGGTTGGGGTTCAACTTCCGGCACCCCCCGCCATTGTGTCGGGAGGGGAACTCGGACAGGTTCTCGAGGGAGGAGGACTTGTTGCTCGCACCCGTTAGAACAGTGTCCTTCTCCCACGTGTCTCCTGAAATGGCCAACCATCACTCAAGTCTCTCACTTTCTTACCACATCTTATGCTACGTTTTCAGTAACGAACAGACTTTTTGCAACGAACAAATAGTTTATCGTTGAAACGATTGCTAAAAAGGTATAACTTACTGCAATATATTTGAAAGGATGATTGGGCAACAAATAAAGGAGTGAAAAGCAGAGAGAACTCACCATGTTCAGCCAAGTTTGGGTGGATGTTGGCATTTGCCATGTTCATCTCTGACATGCCCGGTGAACTCCTCTTAGCAGCTCGAAACCTGTTCTGGTCCTGCACACTAACCTCATTGTTATTTGTTATTATTGCTACAGTGGTTGGCACTCATCAGCTGCTGATGTTGAGGAGGAAAGCTCAGTGGGAGAAGTTGTTGGCCTCCGTTTAACCTGTTTGCATTGTTGTTATTTACACTCATCAAATTGGCATTGGGCATGTGTAAGTTATTGTTGTTATTGTTATTGTTCAGAGCTTTCTGCGTATGTTGTTGGCTGCAATTGTTTGTAGAAGACGGGGGCACATTTCTGTGGCGCAAGGAGAGCACGGGGTGGTGTTGGTTTAGAGGAGGCAGCGGCGGCGACTGCATCGCACTGCTATCCGATTGGTCTGTGAATTCACTGTCGCTCTTGTACATGGTGTACTGAACTCCCCCGTTCGCCATGTGGGCTTTGTTGTTGGCCATCATTGACGTCAGCTTCTTCTTGTCAAATCTGTTCCACAAACACAGTACTCATTTTGCTACAGCAAAAAAAAACTGTACGTCAACAGGAAAAAAAAAACATTTAAGATACAGTTTAATGTTTGATGTAATTGTTCCGACCATTGAAAATAGGGAGGAACTTTGTATTAATTTTTTCCTACGCAAAATCAGATACCGCAAATAATCATCGGAATGGGTCGAGTGATACATCATATTAAAGCGCTTTCAGTCTTGATTCGAGCGAAACTTTAAAAATTTCAAAAATTGTCTCAGTATGGAGAAAAACAGGTTTTGAATTTTTGATTTTCGTCGAAATTCGAGCTAATAAAGCGAGCGAGCAGGCTTACAAAAAACTTATTTATGCTTAATCCAAGCCGTGGAAATTTAATTTAACACGATTTAGGTTAGTTTTTGAAATTTTTTCCGATTGTTTATTGTTTTTCTAGTCATTTTCGACAAAAAAATCCGTAACAATTTGCCAATTATACTATGAATTTGGAATATGCATAAGTTCTACTTTTTCGTTCAGATCCTTCCATCGCACAACTGGCTATCGTTGGTACGTGTAAGCTACAAGAGAAAACTAATCAATGCTAAGTAATGCTTTAATATGAATTTATAATTGAAAGGTGTGTGCCTGTGTCGAGAACTTGGGCCGTTGGCTGCTGCTCGATTGTGAGGGCGGGCTGTGAAGTGGTGCTGCGAAGACATCTCGATGTACCCTCGCGTCATGTCCCTGCCAGCACCGCCCCCTTGTGATGGGGCAGCTGGCGGGGGGAGGGGCAGGAGCGGAGAAGGTGGGCTTTGTGTGGTAGGCGTGTGCTGCTGGTGGTGCTGCTGGTGTTGTCTGTGGTGGAACCTGTGACGATGGAAGCTGCGTCTTTGTGGCTCGTCGTCGCTGTAATAGGACTGACTCAAGTCACGACTGGCGTGTGCCTGTGCAGCCGACAACAATGGTCTCTGTGAGTTCACAGTGCCCGTGTAAGATGCACTGCTCCTCTGACTGCGGAAACTTCTCTCGGAACAGGTGTCCATTATTGAAGCTTCTTGTCCGCTTCCTCTTTATTTTCTTTCCTCTTGAACAACGATCGATGATGGCAGTGGCGACTGTTGATAGTCAATCAGCCAGCAACTTGAGCGACCAAAATATAAAAAAGATAGAGATGATAGTTGGCATGCGCATCGTGCAACAGTTGAGTTGACTCCGTATAGCTGCCGTATTATTTACAATTGGGGGCTGGGAGATGAGATTCGAAGCTCTGCAAGCCTTTGTGGAGACTTCCCTTTGACGTGTGAAGGAGGCTGCTATAAAAAAGGCACTCGCTTCTTCTTTCCAGTCGTCTGCTCCGACGGCATAACGGGGCGAGAGTAAATTTTATTGGGCTGCAAACATCAAAAGGCGCAACTTTTTATCCCTGACAAGGCCAATTGGGGATGAAAGAAAGCAGCGGCACACATCAGCGACTGCGGGAGAAGGAGAGCAGAGGTGAACAAGAGAGCCCATTCATTTATATACACAACTGAAATTTCAACTCATAAGTTAGAGCCGCGTCGTTACTATTTAGTTGTTGTTTTCACAAGAAGAAAGAGACGGCGGCAGTGGTTGAGACAGATAAAAGGAAAGGACAGTCGGAGGATAAGAGAGGAGAGGGGGAGAGGAGAGGAGAGAAGGAAGAAAGAAGGCAAAAGAAAGTAAAGAGAAGAAAAGAAAATAAAATAAAAGAAAGAAACAAGGACCCAGTCTGAGGAGAGTCACGTGTTAATATTAGCCCTTAATGGTAAAGTGGGATCTAAGAGACGGTTTGTGAAAATAAACTGCAACATATCAATACTGGCGTGGACATTTAGGGAATTAGCTGGCTGGCTTCTTATTCATTCCTCCTTGGCAGCAGCAGCAGGGGAGGCAGGAAAGGAAGAAAAGAAAGCACACGGCGCTCAACAGCACCAGACCAGTTGCAAATGCCAACAGAACAACCCAAGTGCCTTCCAAATCTTTTATTTCCTCACTTGGCAAAACATTCCAGCCAGTCGTGTTCACACCAATATCCCTTTTTGTTGCCACTTTCGAATAAATGCGCAATATTTATCCTTGGGGTCCTTTTTATTGGGAAGCGATCCAAATAATAACTTTTACCAAACGACAACTTATTGGATAAAAATTCCAAAACTTCCGATGACAACCGAGGATTCTTTAATAAAATTTTTAACGGGCTTAAAACAATCCAAGTCTCTTTTCCACATTCTCCCCACCTTTCAAAGTGTCGATTTTTATGTTTGTTTTAATTGTTATTACGGCTAAATGCGTGATGTTACGAAGTGAAGTATGAAGAACAAATCTGTTCACAGTTGTCAGATAGTTCACCATGTCTGATTTCTTAACATTATGGCAACAAAAATTAAGCTTTTAAAAGTTGAATTTGAAGACAGGAAGCTGGAAAAGAGCTCAATCCAAGTTGTGCTCCGACTTTCGAAGAAAGTGCCGGAATCTTTGTGCTCGGGGTGGTTTATTTCTCCAGACAAATTTCGACTTTTTAACTAGCTATTTTTGACATAATTTTTAGATCAATCGAAAAATATTGTTGTCTTGAAAATAAAAAGATATTTCACCTGTGATCAATTTTTTTAAAGTTATGGGGGTTTAAAGATTGCCAATTTGGGAAATAAACACCTGATATATTTCGCGATATAAACGCGTATTAACAAATGGTTATACAGTGCTGATTTAAATTATCCAGACAAAACTAACCAAATTTGAATTTTCGAACGCGTTTTACTCAAATTGGGTTTAGATTAGACATAACGTGAAGAAAACAAAAGTTGCTTAGAATAAAAATGATGCAATTTTTTTTTGAAATTCTCAACCAAATAATTTTACACCATAAAAGGATCAATTTGGCTTTTATTCCGAGCCAACAAAGTTCTAGAAGGGCAAAACTTCGCGTGATCGGTCGTACTAAGTTTGTGCATTTCAAACTTTCACACTAGATGTTTGATATTGATCTTATGGGTTTTCAAAATTTTCTTTAGCAACAACTATTCAACACAAGGGCAGTCGGAACAATCTTGATTTACAAGCAGTCTGGTTAGAAATTGAAAAGCGAAACAACCATCATACTCAATCAGTCGTTTTGAAATACTCAAACTAAAATAAAGATATTTTGATTTTTTTTCTCAGGGGAGGCTGCGATCTTGTTAACTACTAGCCCCCGCAGGTACCATCTATCGAATTTACCCACTATTAAGACAGAACTGAACAATTAAGCATATGTGAACGCTTTCTATCTTGTAACGAATCAGACGCATTTGTGAGGGCAAAAATTTAACAAGATGCAAGAGCTAATAATTATTATTTTCTTAAAATGAAAAATCAAACAGGTAAAAAGGATGAAAATTCAGTTTGAATTCGAAGAAGAAAAAAGAACTGTGACTTCAGAATGATTGCTTTGGGACTTTTCGTTTCAGCTTAGTAATTCAGCCGAGCCTGACTACCGACAGACACGAAATAGTTGCAGACATGTGTGGCAATTTGGTGAGAGTTTTTATCAAAATAAGCAGTTTTGAGGGGTTGTTTGCCTAACTATGTATTGAGAAGTAGTGCGTGCAGCAAATAGACAAGTGTGTAAAACAGTGCAAAGTGGACGGGGGGGCGGCAATGGGTCTGGTTGGAGAACTGTTTTGATGTCAGCCGCTGGGGAGGAAATACACACTTGGAGCTTCTCTGTTTTCGCTGCTCAACTCAAAGCTACCGGCTAATTAGGAAGTGTAAATGGAAACAAAGACTGTTTTCAACCCAGCCGCAACCTCGCGCTTCATTACTCCTAGTCAAACAAGTTCTTTGAAATCAGGGGCTCCTCAAATTCCACCAGGAAAACATCAAAACGTGAGGAGCGGATATTGCATTTCCAGTGGGCGAGCGGCTCCTGAAAACAAGCAAGTCACGCCAAATGCTACAACCATACCATTGGTATAATGTTGGCGCAGTTTAGATTTGAAAAATAAGGCGGCATTTAGCTCAGCTAAGATGAGCAGAGCGCAGTCAAACACGAGGAGAGCATACACGCCACATCAAAAACACCATATTTAATAAATTATCTGTAGTAATAGCAGTAGCAGCACCATCATTCGAAGTGAAACGGAAGCAAAACTACGCGACCTTTGACAAAGTGGCCAATTTGAAAAAATAAAATTAACACCAATTATCTCTCAATACTGGCAAGTTGTGCCAAATGAAAACAGTAATGAGGAAAAGCAGACGGGGGATCTAATTGCCATCCCCCTTATTGAAAAAGGACAAGAAATTAAGTGAAGGATCAATATTCAAAACACACGTATACGTATGCCCAACCAGATAATGATTAGACCGGTATACGTGTGGAGGGATACTCGTGCCCAGTTATCACAACAAGACTGCTGTGGCTGAGCGCCATTTTATAGTAGCCTTCTAAGTCCACTCACTCTTACCCGGTTAATCAATGAAAAACAGAACATCTTTCACACCACTTGTTCTCCACACTGCCAACTTTAGGACACATGGTTTTGGAATGACGCCAACACTGAACGGGTTTTATTCATATCACACCTCAGTCCATACCCGGCATTTTCTTTGAGGCTCCAAAATTGTGTGAGAAACTCCATAGGTCACATAAGCTACGCTAACTGCAATAACACTCATTGAATAAGCATATCATTAAGATCGAAACTAACAATATGAACTGAAATTTAAAAAAAAAGAATCAGGAAAAAAACAAGTGGAATTTTAAAAAGGTAGCAAATAGCACACAAAGTTACGAACATAAAAAAGACGTTTTTTTTTCTTTTAAATTTCAACATTTTTTGGTCGCGGTATGATGAGAGAATCTGAACGAGAAGCTAGAACTTCGATATTAATAGTAAATTAGGTACATTAAACAAATAAATCCTCGTCAAAAATAGATAAATTTAAGCAAGGATTGCCGGTTGCAATGTAAGTGGCACAGAATATTCCAACCAGATTCATAAAAAAAAATTTTCTTCATATTAGTGTCGTTTTATTATTCATAATGCGATGAGAAAACTACACAAACGCGTAGAAAGTTAGCTAATTAGATATAAACGTTGGCTTCAAAAAACGAGTATCAGACAAAAAAATGTATGTAGAAAAAAAAACAATATTAGAAAACAAAAATTTCAATTTTTTGAGAAAATTTTTATGGCCGAAAAAGCGCTTACCCAAATACACAGTTCTTTCACATTGTCAATAGTCGGAACAAAAAAAATTTTTTCCATTGAAATTTCGACTTAAAAACGTTTTCACCAAAAAAGCTTGAAATTAAAAAACAACTAATTCTACTGAATAAAAACTAAGCTTTCAAGGCCTAACTTGATTTTCAAGAGGACTAATCATAAGCTTATAATAAACCTACTATAAGTCAATTATATTCCCTTTCTTCGCTCGAAATAGACAAAATATCAAAGAATTTCAGGCCGGTTTTTTCTCGACAAAACTTTTTTTTAGAAATTTTTAAATGTCGTTCACATCACGACGGAAAGAATTTTATTTGGGGCACCTGATATATTGGGGCACCTGATTTCGCGTGTTAAAGAAAAGAACTAAAACAAACCCGGACTAAAACAAAATCGAAGACAGAGTTCCTAACACCCGTTTTTATTGGTCGGAACATAATCTCTTTTCTCTGATTGTGGGCAGAGGGACTGGAAAACAGCTCAGAATAAATTATAAAAAAGCAAGTAAGAAAATCATGTCTCTAGCATCGAATGGATGGACTGCTGCAAGCAATAAAAATAATTGTAGCATGAAATTGATGGACCGCTGTAATTAAACAGCGAAATTAATGTTACTTTAACAATAACTACCAAGTTATGCAGTTTTGCAAATAATTTAATGGTGCTTTACTAGAGAAATCAACTAGCCAGTCAGGTCTGCGTCCCACCCTACCTACCTTAGCATGATTTTTGCGTACTTTCAGTCTTAATATGCGCATACGCACACTCCGGTTATTTTGAATGTATGACGGCAGCTGAAAACGCTTTCGCATGACAAATGCTACCTTCGGGCGCAATTATAATGCTCAGTCGAAACTGGACATGATGGCTTAAAAAATCAACAACGACTTCTTTTTATATCCATTTAATAGATTACTCCGAGTCGGTTGCTCCTTTACTTGGCCCAAAGGGCCTACAAAGCATTCTACAAGATTTTCAACATGAAGTTTATATAAAAAAAGTTTTATTTTTTTTTTTCAGTTTGTAATAGTTTCAGCAATTTTATTATCTTTTGCAACAAATTATGAACGTTTGCAGCAGCTTACAACAAATATTAGTAGTTCAAACTTTCCATCTTTCCATATGACCTAAACTACTGAAGCAAATGCAGGACAGATCTTAAATTCAAATCTCTATTCTCCTACAATGTTCGGTAAAACGACCAAGAAAAAATTCCACAACCAAAAATATCCAAATCAGAAGTTTTCAGCGTTTCTGTTCCACAGATATCAATTCTAACTAACGGGAAGCTCGTTTGTGATATCAGAAACCAATATTTTCAATTTGAAAAAATTTTTATTCGTCGAACCTTAGATAACCGTCTTAAAAAATGAAATTTTTAATTTTCGCAAAAGCAAAAAAAATAAGCCAAACGAATTGAAGCATCACACCACAACTCTTGAGCACTATTTGAAAGGTCTCCTTACCAAAGCCAAAAGATTTACTGAAGTAGAGATAATTGAAAAAATCACTTTATGAGTTCGTTGGGAAAAGGCCAAAAATGACCAAATCCCATCTTAATAATAAAATCATCAAAAAGTGGCATTATCAAACTGCCAATAATTTTGGGGCCTAGGGTCGCATGGAAATCTAGCAGGGACTTTTTGAGCACCTGGCTAATTTTTTTTAAATAGTAGTAAACGTTAAACTGGCCTCACAATGGGTTTATATAGCGTCGTGGGCACGCTCCCATCAAAACTTTCGCGGCACCCGGATATCTTTGTTAGGTTTCCTGAACTAACTGAAAACTTAAACACTGAGGCAAAGCGAAACTTCGCATCAATTGCAATATCAAAAAAAATTGCAAGCTATCAGACGGAAAATCAAATGAAAATCGAAATTTTAAAAAAAAATTTGAAAAAATTACAACTTACGAAACTTCTAAGTTTTTTCAGTAATAAGAATTACTTTAAGAAAACACGACCAGAAACACAATTTCCGACGTTAAATACGTATTGAAAAAATGACCGCTACCAAAAAAAACACTAAAAATTTTATAAAAATTCTTTTTTGAAATGACGCAAGTTCAGGTGACTTCACCGATAAATCGAAACATTGAGGCCAATTTTTAGCGGGTATAAGAAATTATTGAAATTTCGCAATTTAAAAGACATGCATCTAAAACAGTTTCAAGTACAAAAAATTCTCCCCGCACAAAAAAATCCGTGATAGGGCAACTACGACGACAAAACATCAGCAGACAAATAATCGGCCGAAAGTTTTTGCTGACTAGATTTACTCCGTTTGAAAAACAGGTCTTGGCCAGATTCAAATCCATCGAATTTTTCGTCCCAGGGGCAGTTGCTACCACTAGGCCAAACGCAAAGGAAAAGGCAATCCGTCAGAATGTGGATCCTACAGAGGCATCCGATTACTGGAACAAGCCTTAAAAACTTTCCAAACTACTAGAAAAAGGTTTAAAGCAATTCAAAAAAAAGACGACATACAATTTGGCTTTAAAGGTGGTAGATCAATTACTGATGCCGTTTTTCTTATAAGACATTGAAGGGACAATTTGCGCAAAACAAAAAAGCCCTGGTTCACACACAGGTTGATCTTGAAAAAACTTTAGACCATGTTCTCAGGGAACTGATCCCATGCGCTCCGAGGCAACAGTATTCCCAAAAATCTAGTATCAATGATAATGTGCCTGAACGCATTTGAAGCTATGCACACTCTCAACTTGTGTGGTAGTTGTTGAAACCTACTGAGAAGAGAAATATACCGAGAAGAGAAATTGGAGATTATCCGGTGGACAAAACTGTTCACGGGAAAGAAATCTAGTATGCGATTGCAATATCCTTCCTTATCGCAAGTGTAAAAACAGATAGATAACATTTCCATTAAACAGTAATTTACAGACTCGAAACTGAACTTCGCCCCACTGGCGATACAAATTTGGTTAAAATTAAACAAAAAACTTAAAAAATATCTTTTTTATCAAAAAAAAGAGCGGACTCAGGCAGTTGTGTCACTCAAGCACATGTGAAAACTTCTTTTTTGTTGACAAAAACGATTTTTTGAATTTCTTTGAAGTTGTTCCGTTTGATTTTAATCAAATTTGTATCGCAAGTGAAGGGAAGCTCAGTTTCGCTTCTGTAAGTTACGCCAGATGATTGATTGAGTTTGAATTTCTAATTACCATGCTGTAAAAAAGCCGAAAACATCTGAGAAACCTTTAGTACCGAAAAAAATTCAAAAAAAAATTTAAACTAATAAAAAAATTTATGTCATCTCTCCCCTCAGAGCACACGCACGCATGAAGATCCCCGAATGATGCAGAAAAAGGCCACTAGGTCGATCTAAATCAAGCCGAAACTTATCAACCCGATAAAAACCCCAAAAAATGGGGAACAAAAATTGACAAACCGAGTTGATAAAATTACAACCAGTAATAAAAATAAATTTCATATCGGCGGGAGGATTAAAATGCTAAATTTGAAGCAATTAGAGAGAAAAACTGTTTACAAAGCAAAAAAAAAACGATTCTCAGACCTGGCAAATACGCCGACAAAACATACGCCGACAAATAAAAGGCCTGAACTTTTTCTGACCCGGAAAGTGGACCGTTTGAAAAAAGGTCTCAGACAGATTCGAACCCCAGTACTTTGCCACCTCAGGCGTATTCGCTACATCCAGGCTAAGTGTGCAGGTGGCACTAAGAAATTTGAATTGAATAAGAACTAAGGTAACACGAGTCTAGATGAGTCCTGTGAGCAAAATTGTTTGCGGGAAAGAAGTCTAGTAACGGAAAGCAATGCCCTTGCTGATAAGATGATTTTCTTCTATACAGAAGCTAAACGAGTGTTTTAAATTCAAAAATTATTCTGAATGAATTTGAAAGGTGCATTAAGCATTAGTATCAAACAATTTAACAAAAACATTTTACTACCTGGTCATATCACTACTAAACAACTTAAATCATCAACAATTTAACTCCTATCACGCCCAAGTTAAGCCAGCAATTAACACAAGCATAAAAAAGTTGGCTCATCTAAGTTATACTTGCTAAAATGAAGCTTCCTAAATTACTTAGGACTCGTATAGATAAGTTCGTAGGTTCGTTATGTATTTATAATTAGATATTTTACTAAACAAACATGATTACTAAAAACTTGCTTGTGCTAATTTATAACAATTTGACATAATATTTCTGAACAAAACAAAATTAAGACAGTCGTTTCATGCTGTGCTCGATTCATGAAGAAACGCAAAGATCGAAAAAAAATACGATTGAAACTTTCGAATTCACAGGTTCATCTTAAAACAAACCAAGACTTTTAGCGTCGGTCCACGAAGTTTATTTCGAAACGAAATTAACCGAAAAACAGATTTGCTCAAAAATGATTAACATAATTGCGAACAGGCAAGGAATTGATCGAGACCCGTGGAGAGCACAATCATGACCTTTCAGAGGGAAACTCAGATGCTCGAAATGTCATCAA